CCCCAAAACCCCAAAACCCCAAAACCCCTGGGACAAGAATATATTAATATAATATGATTTGATAATAATTTTATTTTGTATTTATTTAATGAGTTAAACAATTGATTCCAGCAATCATATTCCTGATGCTTCCACCATCGAAATGACTCCCAAATAAGATTCTCGCAATATCTCTGCTGGTAAGCATTCAGGGTTTTTATTTTTTAGCATAAATGTATTCAAATGATGCCTCTAAACTTAAGAAATCGGCTAAAAACAGTGCATATCTCTAGTCTAATATTAGAAGTCATAGGAAAAGTCTGAATAATACATAATAAGTCAAAAGTCGAAATGATGTCAATGATTCTGAAAAAATGAAAACCTATGACGACGCTCATTCATCTGTCCTTAAATCTGGTAAAAATAAATGATAATAATATTATTTTCAGCAAACGATAGGTAAAGATCAAGACATGGATCCTTAACATCGAAAGACATTCAAGATTTGCAGAGAGCATACAGCACTTATTTGAATGTTACGGGTCCAGGTGATTATTCACTTCCCTCACTTTCACATGGCAAAATGGTTGTTTCTAATAAAAAGAATTCACCAATGTTTTCCTTTTCACAAAAGACCAAGTTGCCCTATTTTCCTTAATGCTACACAGTAAGCTGATTAATCAAGTAAATATTGTAAGGAATTCATGGGAAGAGATGCACCACCATCGGGAATATATCAACCTGAAATCCAGCAAACGAAGAAGTAAGATCCCTTATTTTCTATGGGGAAAAGTCCAAGATTTTAACTTCCTCAGTCAGAAACGTAACTGAAAAGTTAAATGTAAGATAATTTATTAACAATTTTAAAATTATAATATCCTCTGATTAGGCCGATCTAGTATATGCCAGATATTATTCATGAAGAGAAAAACAAGTATAAGGTAACTTAAATTCTACTATATGTGGATTAATTAAACTTATAGAAAATATCTCTTGGATATGGATAGAAATTAACTTATAAAACAGATAAGAAGGATGAGACAATCCCAGGACCAATATATTAAAATGACTATTACAATTCAATGAAATCTGCAGTAGATCATACATAAAGTCGGACAAACTCAACATTCGGTTGTGACAAAGATCAGATGGCGAAAATAATGTACTCTGGCATGGAGAAGCACTACTATGGTATTCATAGTCCAGGACCTGGAAATTATTACTCATCAGATAAGATAGCTTCATTATCGTCTATAAGAGCTCAGTCATAGTTTTCGATTCCGAAGGTACTATTTAGATTTTAAATTTCTATAGAATGATAGAGGATTGCTCTCAATTAAAAAAGACAACAAACCTAATCCATTTACTTACTAGAACACTTCAGAAATCTACGGGAAAGTAGTAGCTAAAAAAGATGGGTCATTTTCAATGCCTAAATCTGACAGAAATTTCAACTTCACTAAGTTCAACTCTCTTCACAATGTCTTAGTCCAAAAAGGGTTATATTGATATGAATTAATGTTAACTTATTACAATATATTCGTCATCAAATCTAAAAATTTACAACATAATCTAAGTTTAAATTTTAATTAAGATTTTAATTTATATTGAAGGTAATTATATTTATGCATTTGAATTTTGAAGAAAATGCAAATAGCAGTTCGAGTCAAAAAAAGTTGGAATAAGTATTAGAAATTAATCAATTAACCGAATCACTTCATTTAGCTAGAAACTTCAGTTCTAAAGCATATCTCTCTCCATAGTATTGCTTATCGAACTTTCTCTAGCTAAATTAAAGTTAAATGTGATGGTTAAAATCACATTGGGAGGAAGGGGTTCTTTTCATTCTAGATGGTGGATGTCTCTATTCACTCAGGGCTGATCACAATTGCTGTCATTTTCATTACATCCGAATTCATCTTCATAGACTGAGTACTGCTGCTGACTGGAACTGGCTTTTCTATGGAGAGCATTTGACTTCTGAGTGCTATTTCCGTTACTGATGGGGCATTTCATTTCCTTGCAATCGATTGAAAGTTGCTTGATACCTTGAGAAACTTCAAATGGAGTGTCCATATCCATAGTGTTCTCGCCCATCATCATGTTGTCGTAAGAGTACCTGTCTGTGCTGACTGTTGAGAAACTTGAACTCTTAGCGAAACTCTCTTGACATCTGAATTGGTTGCTGAAGCTTGAATGATTTTTGCCTCTTTGATTAGTGATTTCGGTTATCTAGGAATCTCTGTTGCTGGCAGTCGAGTGTGCTCCGAATTTATTAGGCAGTTTACTCTGCTCAGAAATATCTTGTTGGCAGATATTTTGATCGTTGTTTTCTGAACAACTCAGTTGATGTTGAATTTAAATTTTGGATTGGAGGGAAGGCCATCTCTTGTTTGCTCATTGAGCTTTCTTCGAACCGTCGTGCTCAAAAGTCTGCATCATGATTCCTGATTTGTTATCCTTCGTACCAACGCGGGACTTCTTGTCCTTCTTGATCTTCTTACTTTGCTCCGAAATAAGCGCTGGTTTCTTTGTTTGGACTTGAGAACCTTCGGGACTCCGCGTCGTGTATGTTTCCTTCGCTGGAGGTGACTCGGCGGCCTTAACTCTCATATAAATGGTGGATGTCACTGATTGGCTTGTCGACTAGGATAGATCTGACGATCTGGAAGTCAAGGTAGTGTCTTTGTTTGAAATGGCCTCTTCAAATCTCTTAGATGTAACAGCATCATTCACTTTTGATTCCTCGTTTTAGTTGTTGTTTACATCATCATTCTGTCTAAGGTTTGATGGTTGCTAATTAGTGGTAGTAGGAATAGTAGTTTGACTAACTTGAGGAGGAGCAGGTTGAGTAGTAGCCTTTTGCTGTTTGAGAGTCTTCGCAGCATCGATGAAGAGTTTAACATATTCATTGTACACCTCCTCAGATACAAACAGATTGTGGTCAACTACCTCCAAGAAGTGAAGCTGATATCGGTTCAAGATTGACTTTGGGATACAGACCGCCATTGAAAATTCCTAGTCGTAGAAAAATCTATCCCCTTTTTCATTGAAGTGGCATGTCTCTTCGTTATATTTAACTGCTAGGACTATGCATGTTCCGAGTAAGCTATTATAAGAAATTAATTTTATAATAAATATGGGGTATGTTTAACTTACAAATAAGTGTTTTGGTGACTCTGTGCATATCTCATTTCAGAACTATACAATTCTGAAGTTTTAAAATGTTCATTCATTGAATCAAAGAATCTCTACATATAAATAAATGCAACCACGACGGTTTTCTCTGAGCATCCCAGTGAGCTCTAGCATGAACATAGATACTATGAAATGCTGATCATCGGTCGCTCAGTCCAATCATACATCGTTGGAAGCACTAAAAATAGAGTTAGTCAGGTCCTAATGTGGAGAAGTAAACATACATTTGAACTTATAGGAGTTATGTGTGGCGAAATTCTCAAGAATTTGGCCAAAAAACATAACTTGTTTATTAATTTAGGGTGGCTGCTACTGCATCTCTTCTGATAAAAATCTCGAGATATTGTGTTTAATTTGTTAATAATTATCATCACTTCATTTACTATGAATTTAATAATTCTCATTCAAATTTTGACAATTTTCACTTAGTGGGGTTTTGGGGTTTTGGGGTTTGGAGATTTAGACTCCAGCTTTCTTTAATG